CTTTGCCGTTCCTTTTCCTGGAGATTCCTGTTTTGTCAGATTTCGACCCATACCAAATCAAGCTAATTTATTATGATTAAGTGATAAGTTATGACGTGTATATATAAAGGCAGCCCCGCAAATGAAGCATCACACATTCATGCAAGGTTTAAAAAAGAGCCGCAACCCAAGGGGCAATGGGTGTGATCAAATGCGGATACAAGATTTTAAGAGGATAAGTACATTATTGTGAATATGTGGATCTAGAATATATATTTGACAGGTTTAACTTGAGGCTCTTACCATGAACCCATTGCACTTTTGAAATTATAGGTTCAAAATTATATTCTTTTTAAATTTTTAGTAATTCTTACATATATATTTATACTCCTTGTCGAAAGCAAGACCGTCCGGAGTAGAGTTTGAACCGACAATTTCACTTGTAGAGGTGTATCCAATAAATATTGCACCGTAGGAGTCTTTGAGCTTGGGTACACACATATATTTAACTAATTTTGAAGACATATAACATTACTCCCTCCGTCTCGTATTAATAGTCGTGGTTACTAAAAATTGTTGTCTCAAATTATTTGTCATTTTACAAGTTCAAGACAAAATTGATTATTTTTTTCCCTTTTTTACCCTTAGTTATAATTGTTCCTGAAGATGGAGATAACACATAAATAAAATAAATATTGAATGAAGAGAGTTAATATCTTAAGACATAAATAAGGGTAGAATAGTCCAATCCCTTTTCTAATTAATATTTCTTAAGGGCGTGTAAAAGGGAAAGATGACACATAATATGAGACAGAGGGAATAATTTATACCAAATTAACCTAATTTATCATGATTAAGTGACAAGTTATGAAGTGTATATATCAGGGAAGCTCCACGCAGAGGCGGATCCAAGATTTAAATNCTTATCGAAAACAAAATCGTTCGGAGTGGAATTTGAACCGTTAATTTCACTCGTAGAGGTGTACCGAATAATTATTGTACCATACAAGTCTTTGAGTTTGGGTGCGCACACACATATATTTAAGTAATTTTGAAGAGATAAATATTAATATACATAGTTTAGGGAAATAAGCATGCATGGGTTCACGTGAAGCCATATCTTTTAACCTAGATACGTCCATGTGTGATATATATATATATATATATATATATATATATATATATATATATATATATATATATATTCTTTTTTGTTTTGTTTGTTTGGCGCCTCAAAAAAAGACTTTTTATACCTTAAGAAGTTGAATTTGCGCAAATTATGCAACAAATTGCCACATCTGACGTGTAAAGTCTTTTCTACCAACATTTTGATTTTGTTTCTTCTTCCCCTTAGTTTTTCAATTTCAACTTTGTTCACTCTTCAGTATAATAAATAGGCAGAATAGCCCGGGAGACACTTGTACTTGTTCCGGTTTGTCATCCCGGTCCCTACACTCCATAAAGTTTCATCTAGACACATTTTGGCTGCGCTATATAAGTTTTTAATATTATGATTTTTCCCTTTTAAATTAATATTATGGACTTACCTATAGAATAAATAAATTTTATTTATAAATCAAAAAAATAAAAAGTATTAAAGCATATATAATGCTAGAATAACAAAATAATGAGCATAGTAAAAAAATTAATTAGAATAATTTGTTCGTAATAATAATTGTAGTATTAACAACAAAATTTAAAAAAATATTTACACAATTGAGAATGAAAGAAATAAAGGATTTAAAATATATATTTCATGCATATAATATAAAATAATTATTTATATAAAGATATTTTATAATATACATTATATATTCTTGAAAATTATGCTCAATTATATTATTATTTCGTCATTATGAGCTGAAGACTAAAAATTTTTATTTTTTATTTTATAAATAATATGTATTTATATAGGTAAGTCCACATTGTAGATTAAAAAGAACAAAAAATTACAATATTTAAAATGTTTTTAATTTAGAGAGTAAAATAGGTATTTGACACTAAAAAATTTGGAAAATTTAGTTGAGTGACCTTCTGAGTGCAATATGCATAGTTAAGTGACTTTGTTGTTACTAACGAAAGAAAAGTGACTTTAAAAGATAATTTGGGATAGTTGAGTGCTCATTTGAGTAATGGACTCCAACAAATTCAATATGATCCTAACAGGTGGGGTCTGGGGAGGACGCAGACTTTACCCCTACCTAATGCAGGTAGAGAGACTGTGTCCAATAGACCCTCGGCTCAGGAAAGGTAAGAAGAAGAAGAGGAGGAAAGCAAGGAAGGAAGAAAGAAGGAAGAGAAAAGGAAAAGAAGAAGGGAGAGATAAAGGATTAGTAGTACCAAATAATAGCAACAGGGAATATAATATCTGAGGCGAAACATAAATTTAACGCGAAACATAAATTTACGTATAAAAATTATTAAAATTGTAATAAATGGTAAGGTCTGACCCGATAAGTCTAAAAATATAAAAATATTAATGCTAAAAGTTATAAAGATCAAGTCGGTAAAATTTATATTTAAGATATACACAGACCTTACCTTTATGTAAGATAAGAAAACTGTTTTCGATAGACGGTCGGCTCAAGAAATAACACCAACTTTTGTTCTTAGGGTCAAATATTCGTTGGTAGGCAGACAAGTATTTTAGTGATAAGATCAACAAACATGCATTGAGAACGGGTAGAGCTTGCTTCATCAGTTCATCATCAAATAGTACGTCGACCGCCCAATGGATTGCCTTTGCAGAATTACAGTTCTGAATTTAAGATCTAAGAACGTACGAGTGGAAACTCCCCATTTGCATATATGAGAAAGAAAGAAAGAAAGAAAGAAACAAGGAAGAAGGTTCTGATATGTTTTGCCGACCTGATCAATTTAACTACTTTTGGCCCAGCTGTCACCTAAGCACATGTTGAGTGCAATCTTCTCGCACACCACGGATATCTTTTTTTCTTTATTTGGTTTTTTTTTATTTGTCATTTTCTCTATTGAATCGAACTAATAAGAAATGCACAAAGTATTACTTTTATCAATCCTAATTTATGTGATATTTTTATCAGATTCAAAATTTTAATTTTGATCATATATTTAAATATAAAAATCTTTAAATTTTTCGTAATAAAATTTACAAATACGTAAAAAAATTACTTACAGTTAAAGAACAACTCATTTTACTCTCGAAATGCAAACACTATCACATAAAATAAGACAAAAGGAGTATATTGAGAGTCATTTAGTTAACATAGTACTAGTAATTTTCACTATGTTCCATGAAAATGACATTTTTTAAAGTTAAATTTTATTTATTTTATCTTTATTGACATAATTTTATAATGACATAAACATTATGACATGCAAGAGCGAACATAAGGTGGTATTTACTAGTTCTTTCTAACCTAGTAATTTTTGGCTCAAACTCTGCATATTTATTAAAATTCGCTAAACAAGTGCAAAACGTTTATTTCAGACTCAGAAAATCAAATGAGTTGTTTCAAAAAGTTTAAATTATATATTTTAAATTAATTCTTAATATGTACCAAGTAATATGGGACAGAAGATAATCATCAATAATTATAAAAGGAATTTACTAGTGTCTTTTTTGGTATCACGTAGCTAATCTAAATAATCACAGTTGTCTTACATCAAGCAGCTGGTCATAGGTAGGGGGAAACACTAATTCCAAGAAGCCGTAACGTGACCTAAATTAAAAACGGCCACCCTTTGGACAAAAACAAATGGAACCCATTTTGCCCCCTTGTTACAACCAAATGACACAACATGGTAGATAGTGTGACATACACCACCCAATCCAACTAATAAATATCTTACTTTTTGCATCTAAGGTTGTGACCTAAATATAAATGTCTTGCTTTTTGCATCTAAGGTTGTGACTTAAATCAATATAATAATGAATAAAAATGGTAAAAGATTAGTATTCAAATTTGAAAATAGCTAAAAATAAATAAATATGTATTTCTTTTTGTTTATCTAAATAGTTTGTTCGGTTAAATTTCTAAAATCAATTTATTATGAAAAGTATTTTTCAAAATTGTTTTTAAAAAATTACTTGTAGTGAGTTCTAGTTTTTGTTTGACTAATTAATGCGTAAAGCACTTTTGACCAGCAATTAATGTTTGAACAAAACTTATAAAAATTGATTCTAAGTGAATTTTTTCAAAAGTATTTTTTGGGAAAAGCGTTTTTTACCTTCTCAAAAATAACTTATGCTTCTACTTAAAAGCACCCTTTTTTCTTCTAAAAGTTTAGCTAAACCCTTTAAGTTTAGAAAAAAACACTCCTAGCAAAATAAAAGAAGCACTTTTGCTCCGAAAAAAACTTGGCCAAATATAGAATCACTCGATGCATATACTAGCTGAAAGAAATATGTATATTATGAAATAGTTGAGATGAGCACAACACTTGCAACTACCTTACATTTATCACCTAAAGGTGTGACTTAACACTCAATATAATGAAACGAAATTGTAGAAAATGATCTCTTTCTGTTTACCTAAATTTTGATACGTAGCGTTACTCTATATATATATATGGTACCTGTATTTACACGTACACAAAAGAATAAATATTTTGTGTCGACACTTGCGACAAATAGATGGGTCACATTCAATCCAACAATCTCATTAGCTTCTACTACGTGTTTGGATTACTCCCCAACTTGATGGCTGATTCTTCATTGAATTTTTGCCAACTATCACTTCTTATGGTCCAAATACTTCTCATACTTTTCTATACATAAAACTCTTCAAACCTCTCGAAAGGTCAATTATCAATTTTCACGTGATCTTGGAAACTTGCAACTTTCTTTAATTTCCCTTGTCACTTGCTTGACCAACTTGCATCACCTCTAATATTTGTAATATCTTTTTTTTTTTTACTTTCCAATCTCAAGATCTATAAATAGAAAGTTTTCTTTCCATAACCATGCAACATAAAGTTGGTAGAAACAACAACATCCTTAGTTCTTGTTTCAAAATCAAATGAAGAGGCAAATAGGCAACATGCAAGGAAATACTAATAAGAAAAAGGCCAAAAGGGGTGTTGAGAAGGAGATTAAAGAGGTCAAAATAGAAGTACAAGAGAGGAATGATATTGTAAAAAGTGTTATGACGAAACCAGCCGAGTTGATAGCTGAGTGTGATAAATGGATTAATAATGAAGGGCTATGTTCATGGAGTAGTGATAATATAGTGGAAGTGGATGAACAAATGTCATGGGGTACATGTTGGTCACCGGTTTGGGACGTGGAATTTATGGGAGAAGCTTATAATAATTTGTACAATGATGTTTTATGGGACGATGATATTTGGAATTTGCAAGCTATTAAGGAAGTTCCAAGTCCATAAAAAGGGAAAAACTCTTGAACTAACTTCTTGGGTTGAGTTAGGCACAAATTTCGTTTGTTTATCGATCATCTTTGTTTGTAGCATTAGATGTACATCGTTTTAATAGGTTGTAATAGGTTTTCCACATGTATAGATTTATATCGTTTTATGACAACTGTAATGTCTTATAACCAGCGAGAATCACTTTTATTGAAGGCATTTGATTTCAATTCCAAAAGGCTGGTAATAAGAATTTAAACGTCTACTATAGAATTTCTGAGGCATTTATATGATAGTAGTGGTAAAATGGGAATTCTATCACTGTCTCGTATTAATTGTTCTTGTTAATTAATTCACCGGTGACAACACCTGCAATAACAAATGTTCAAATGATACACCAATTGTTTAAAGTTCGTTATCGTGAGATCTTAAATGGTGTAAAAGTTTTTTACGCTAATAATGCCTATAACTTAAAACTCTTTTCGAGAAGCTATAAGTATTTGCATGAATTGAACTCTTGGGCCGTTGCTTGCAAGAGTAAGGTTCTCTATCCTACTACTACTGGAAAATCGTAGGCGGATCTAAGTTGAGAGAATATAGATGGTAATGTATAAATTTAACTTTATCTAATTATCTATATTGATTTTTTTTAAAATTATATATACAAATATATAGAGGATTCAAGTTGAAAGCCATGAGTTTTGTGGAACCAACATTATGAAAATTATGGAGAAAATTGTATGGGTCGAAATCTGACCAGATGAGAATCCGCGTAGAAAGAAACGCCAAGAAGTCGCTTAGGCCGAAGTCGTATCCATACAATGCTATAATAACACGCACCTCGGCCACGGCTGAGGTCGTGTATTCCGAATGCTTGAACGGCGAATCGGACGTTATGGCATTTCAGAGGATCAGCCGGTAATACAGTCAAACGACTTAAGTACAATGGTTAATGACCGTTGGGTAAAGGAAAATACCTAGTATATAAACTAAGTGAGAAAAAGAAGAAAGGGGGGTGAAACAAATTCTCACACAGATATATTATATGAAAGGAAGAGGGATCTTCATCTCTCCCTCTACCCACGAAGGAGAAAGAAACAAGGAAGCTCAGATCCTCAATATATCTCATTAGCCTCATCATATCAAGAGTGGGGGGTTCAACCTTGTTAAAGATCGGTGACCCCTTTTTATCTATATATTCTTCAATATTATTCAATGTAATAACAATCACCATTGTTTTCTCATATAATAGGATTCAACCATGGTTATATTTAAATCTTATGCTCTGATATGTTTGTTCATTCTTATCTTCTATCTTAGATCTAGGGTAAATTATCTTTGGCGAGAATTTGCCCAAAATCTTCTTATTTGATTAGTTTGACAAGGAGTCTAAATCTTTATGGTTGAACAATTTGGTGCCGTCTGTGGGGATTTTCTAGCCAAAGCCTTAGTTCCCTCTAAATCCAAACATGGTCTTATCCCTATCTCTCATTCGGTGAAGTTCACCCAGTCATTACGAATGTCAACTCGCGAAACCAGTCGGTAAACACCCGAAATCGCCAAACCAACCAAGGATAAATCCTTATGCGAAACTGGAGTTACGCCCGGTTTGCACACGAAAACAGCGTTGCCCAGAGCAGCAACCCCGATGCACTATAACCATGAGCCACCATAGCGGACTACAACTACGCATACCAAATACAGCTGTAATCCCATTTTCAGTTTAGTACCCAACGCCTCCTACATCCTGCGCATAATCGCCTCCCCTCCTACTATATGAGACGATGCTTATTATGTAATTTACTAGCTAAAATACTCCTCGTCTGTATATTTGTGGTATAACTAACATTTCTGCCATCTTTGCACGCCTGGGACCGACAGAACCGGGACTCGAACTCGAGATCCTAATGAGGGAGTGGGCCGTCCACCCATGAGATGCCAAAGCTCAACTGGTGGCGAGGGTGAGCGCAATGCCGAAGCTGGCATCAGGTTGGAAACTAGTATCAGAATATAGAACATGGCAAGCCACCCTGCGGTGCAATCCCTAGGTCATCGCCGAACGAGGGAACTCCCCGTATCCAAAAAGCGCATCCATCAAGGGAAGCGTGGCCAATCCCCCTCATTCATCAACTAAACAGCCGACCAAGGTAACAGACTATCCCATGTACCTCTAACCCGTATTCCTTCTTTTAAAAAACAAGAGAGAAGTGAAATAGAGAACAGGGACGTCCCCCCAAAAATGCGAACAAAGGCCAACCGACATACAGACTCTAAGTTCCTCCCTGCAGCACGGTAAATCAGGAAAACCCTCCACACCGTACCATACGACAAATAACAGATAAATGGCTCAAAACAAGCTGGCACCATTAAGAAGCATTCTCCATAGCCTGGGACTGGGCGGTGAGCCCATGGAACGTACAATCTCCGCTACACAAGCAGAACATGAATGCGAAAAGCTTGCCCACATGTTAGCCATGGCAATGCTATGCCAATTCAACTGATTAAATACTACGAGTCACGTTTGAATTTCATTCAAACTAATCAAGCCCCAGGTGCCTAGAAGCCCAAGCAATAAGTTCATCGCCCGTCCCTTCAACGGTCTCTCCAGGCCGAGAAATGAAGGGACTAAATAGATTGGTACTCACCCCGATGCATACCTAAAATATGCAGCAACGACTAATACTCTCCAAAAAATAAGGCAAGGCATAACACAACATTCTTACCACGCTTACGGCCATCGGCCATTGCCAAGCGAAAGGAAAGTTCGACCTCGCTCGAACCCATGACGGGTTACAATTCAACCTCGCTCGAATTTACACCCTTACGGCCATCGGCCATCGCTAAGCGAAAGGAAAGTTTGACCTCGCTCGAACTCATGACGGGTTACAATTCGACCTCACTCGAATTTACACCCTTACGGCCATCGGCCATCACCAAGCGAAAGAAAAGTTTGACTTCACTTGAACTCATGACGGGTTATAGTTCGACCTCGCTCGAACTTACACCCTTACGGCCATCGCCCATCTCCAAGCGAAAGGAAAGTTCGACCTCGCTCGAACCCATGATGGGTTACAATTCGACCTCGCTTGAATTTACACCCTTACGCTCATCGACCATCGCCAAGCGAAAGGAAATTTCGACCTCGCTCGAACCCTTGACGGGTTACAATTCGACCTAGCTCGAATTTACACCCTTACGCCATCGGCCATCGCCAAGCAAAAGGAAAGTTCGACCTCGCTCGAACTCATGACGGGTTACAATTTGACCTCGCTCGAATTTACACCCTTACGGCCATCGGCCATCGCCAAGCGAAAAGAAGGTTCGACCTCGCTCGAACTCATGACGGGTTACAATTTGACCTCGCTCGAATTTACACCCTTACGGCCATCGGCCGTCGTCAAGCGAAAGGAAAGTTTGACCTCGCTCGAACTCATGACGGGTTACAATTCGACCTCGCTCGATTTACACCCTTATGGCCATCGACCATCGCCAGAAGAAAGTGAAATTCGACCTCGTTCGAATTAAACAGTCAAAGTTCGACCTCTCTCGAACTCATGACGGGTTACAATTCGACTTCACTCAAATTTACACCCTTACAGCCTCCGGCGATTGCCAGAAGAAAGAAAAATCTGACCTCATTCAAATTAACAAATCAATGTTCGACTTCGCTTGAACTTGTCACAGGTTACAATTCGACCTCGTTCAAATTCACACCCATGCGGCCCCCGGGCCATCGCCAAGCAAAAGTAATATCTGATCTTGTTCGAATTAATGAGTCAACGTTCGACCTCGCTCGAACTCATAATAGGTTACAATTCGTCCTCGCTCGAATCGGACCCCGACCCCCGCCAAAAATTTGACTTTCATTCAAGCTAACAAAATTCGACCTCCCTCGAATTAACAAGTCCAAAGTGACCTCGCCAAAATTGGCGTTCAACTTTGTTCGAATTAACAAGCCAGAAATGACTTTTCTCAAAACTGGTAGGACAAATTGCAACATCGATCGAGTTGATATACCCAAAATGACTTCGCTCAAATTTGCAAGATAAAACTCGACCCCGCTCGGGTTAACAAAGTCAAGTTCAAATTAGCGGGTCGAATTTGATCCCACTGAGATCAACTACCCGAAGTTAGGGACTTGTTACAAGAAAGTCCAAGAAAATTGAAAGGGAAAAGAGAAGGGAAAGCCGAAAACATACAAACGAAGACAAGTAGACTATTTCATTCGAAGAAAAGGCATCTACAAAGGGCCAAAAAAAAGGGACCCCCACCCAGCAACAACAAAAGAATAGAAAAAAGCTAAGTACAAAAATCTATAAAAATTTCACTCGGCCTCATCTCCGCTACCACCCTCTCCAGCACCGTCATCATCAGAAGGAGGCCCATCCTCAATCTCAGCACCCCCACCGGCCTCCGGTGTCGCAGGTTCATAACCACAGGCAAGACGAGCCTTGTGCGCCTTAATCCGAGCATCTTCGAAAGCGGCCTCAGGAATGCTCCCGCCATCCAGAAACCCTTATATATATATTGTTGGGCCTCAGTACGGACCCATAGCTTGTACAAATGGCGGGGGATAGCAATAGGGGCAAATTCTTGAGAGCCGGCCTAAGCCAACAGCTGCGCCTTCTCGGCCTCGAGAGTAGGGTGGGCATATATCGGGTAAAACCTATAACCCGAACCGTTAATTCTTTATTGGGTTATCGGTATTAGGTTATTGGGTTAACGGTTCGATAACAGATTAAATTTTTTTTATTGGGCTATAGGTTCGGGCTCGATTTGGCAATTCGGTTATTGGGTAAAACCGATAACCCAATAAGGATTAACTAATTTACTAGTTTACCCTTAATAATATATATACTAGGGTTTCATAATTCATACTTCTTAGTTCACTCTTTGATTTCCCTATTCTTTCTCAGTTTCTTCGCCTCACGCCCTCACCAGTCAGCCCGTCAAGACTTAGACCGGCGTCAGTCGCATCACGCCCTCACCAGTCAACCCGTCAAGACTCAGGCCGACATCAG